TTACAGTTCTGTCAAGACATGCTTACAAATTTGAACAATGATCCTAATTATTTTTATGACATTTTATGGACAGATAAATCAAATTTTTCAACTTCAGGCATTTTTAATAGAAGAAATATAGGTATTCGTGAGAACAGAAAAATAATAGAAAAAGAAAAATTAAGCAAATAAAAAAGTCAAAGAAAATCAATAAATTTGTGGTGCGGAATATTGCAAAACAATTAGTTGGAACATTGTTTTATGATTATAAATTAACTGGGGAATCATATTTGGACACAATCATTACAGAAATGATTGAGTTATTAAATCAAAATTATACACAAAATCAATTAAATAGTATGATATGGCAACAAGATGGAGCACCGCCACATAATATCGTAGTTGTTCAAGAGTATTCAAATAATCAAATTAGTGTGTGGATCGGCAATAAGGGTACCATTACATGGCCACCAAATAGTCCCGACTTAACACCATGTGATAGCCTTTTTTGGGGGTTTTTACAAGAAAAAGTGTATTTTGATTCAAATACACTATCACGGCAAAAGTTCGCGCGGAAATTAAAAATTTAAATGGTCGTAATAACACAATATCTGACGCATTAGAAAATTTGAGACGAAGATATTACTTGTGCATGGATAACAATAGAGGGCTCTTTGAGCATCTATTGTAATCTTACATGTAGTATTGTAGGTCAGGGGTCTCCAAACTTTCCAGCCTTAGGGCCATACTGATTACTCCAGTAAGTTCCGAAGGCCAAGATGGCAACACTGTATTTTATATATATTTTTTTATATTTCATTATTATTTATATATTTTATATATTTCTGTATTTTATGTGTAATAGAATTTTGCTGAAGTGTGGATCATTTTTTGTAAAATAACGAATAATTTAATTTTTTGTAAGTGTGGTAAGCTGTTAACATTATTAAGTATGTCAAATATTCACCTATTTTTGATATATTTTAATTTAATACAAGGTAGTCATAAACAAACAAAATATTTCCACCAGTGGAAATCTCCAATCTCTTCCGTCCACTAATAACATAATTATTCTTTCTACTATTTTTCAACGCCATCGTTAGAAATTGTCACAAACACACTTAACTATCCGAAATAGTAAGAAGTCTGAAAAATAATAGCCGCAAATCACTTAAGTGTTACGCACCTGATATCTGGGAGAAGACTAAAGACCCCACCTAAGTGGGACGAGTGCGAGGACGACAATAGTGGCGTAACTACGTCAGTTCCTATGAAACTGTTGTGAAATAAAATAGGGCGTACCTCCTTAAAACAAGTTTGTGCGTGTAACAGTATTTTGATTTGATTTGAATTGTTGCTTTTGTGTGTGATTTCGTAGAATGGAAAAGAAGCGAAAAATTGATAGTGAATGCAGAAAATTCAAAGATCAGTGGAACATTCAGTATTTCGTAATTGAGTCCAGTAACAAGGCGCTATGTTTGATTTGCAATGAAAGCATAGCCGTTTTTAAAGAATATAACATGAAACGTCATTATGAAACAAAACATTCTCAAAATTACTCAAAATATACAGGAATTATGCGGACAGAAAAATTCGAAGCTTTAAAGTGCAGATTGAAATCGCAGCAATCTTTATTTACAAAAGTCAAAACTGAACAAGAGGCGGCAACTCGTGCCAGCTTTCGTGTGGCTCTTGAAATTGCAAAACGTGGAAAACCATTCACGGATGGAGAAATGATCAAGGAATGCATAATTGCAGTAGTCGAAGAAATGTGTTTTGAAAAGGTAAATTTATTAAAAACTGTCAGTATGTCAGCAAACACTGTGGCTCGAAGGGTAGAAAACATCGCTGAAAATATATCCTCTCAACTGTTCGACAAAAATGGACATGTTGAGTGGTTTTCTTTGGCCTTGGATGAGTCAACGGATGTGTCAGATACTGCTCAGGTGTTGATTTATATTAGAGTAGTAGATAAAAGCTATGAAGTGCACGAAGAACTTCTTGATATGTATAGTATTCATGGCACAACTACTGGTACCGATATTTTTAAAGGAGTTGAAATGGCCATTAATAAAAAGAAGCTTCGATGGAAAAACTTGAAATGTATTACAACTGATGGAGGCAAAAACATGAGTGGGAAAGATAAAGGAGTGGTCGCTCTTGTGTCAAAGGCTGTAGAAAATGACGGCGGCTCAAAACCATTAGTCTTACATTGTATCATTCATCAACAGTCTTTGTGCGGAAAATGTTTGGATATGTCTGACGTTCTGAAACCAGTCATATCAACTGTTAATTTCATTAAATCTTTTGGGTTGAATCACCGACAATTCCGACAATTTATTGCAGAGATTGGAGAAACAGACTTACCTTATCGTACTGCCGTACGCTGGCTTAGTTGTGGGAAAGTCCTTCAGCGCTTTTTTGAACTTCGAGCAGTGATCGAAATTTTTTTGAATGAAAAGCACCGCCCTCTTACTGAATTACAAAACAACGCATGGCTATGGAAGTTGGCATTCTATGTTGATTTGACAAAACATGTGAACGAACTGAATTTGAGATTGCAAGGAGAAAACCAGCATCTTCCTGATTTATACACTAATATCAAGTCATTCCGGATGAAATTGATACTGTTTCAATCACAACTACGAAGTAAATGTTTCTCACATTTTAAAACATGTGAAATATTCAGCCACACTATTGAGACTGAGTTTCCTATCGATTTTGCAATCGAAACTTTGAGCGCTTTGAAGATAAATTTTGATACTCGTTTCTCGGACTTTGATGCCATTGCGAATCAAATTAAGATTTTTCAGAATCCTTTTGATGCTGACATTGAAACCCTAGCCCCGGAACTTCAAATGGAAATGATTGATCTTCAGTGCAGTGATATAATTAAGAACAAATATGAAAACTCATCTTTGTTGGAATTTTATAAGAGTCTTCCACTGACACAATTTGATAATTTGCATAAATTTGCTCGTGGGCTGTTTTCCGTTTTTGGTACTACTTATTTGTGTGAGAAATACTTCTCCAAAATGAAGTACACAAAAAATGTATACAGATCTAAATTAACTGACGAGTATCTTAAATCTCTTTTAATAATTGGTACAAGTAAAATTAGTCCACAACTACAAACTATTGTCGGTGGAAAATCTCAATTACATACATCTCATTAGCATTTCATATGTTATGTTTGTTATAAGGTATGTGTTGTTCATTACTTACAATGTATAAAATGTTAGTTGGATTCATTTCAATAATTTGTTAGTTATTATATGCTGAAGTTAAATTTACTGCATAAATTATACATGTCTTTACTCATTACCATTCTGTGTTTCTTTATCCAACTTATCACAAACATTTTATTTGCTATAAAAAATATTTGTCTCTAAAAGGAGTTTTCAAGTATGTCTCCGCGGGCCGGACAAAATCTGTCTGCGGGCCGGATGTGGCCCTCGGGCCGTAGTTTGGAGACCCCTGTTGTAGGTCATTAATTTTGTTGACTTTTTAAAAATATATTTTTTTCTTATCTTAGTATAGTGTAGTAGTACCATACGCCATTATAGAACAAAACTAATACTACACTATGTTATATATTTGTAATCAGGAAATGCAGGGCTACTCAAAACTATAAAAAATACAGGGTGTCACATTTAAAATATTGAAGATGAATTTTATTGGGCACTCCCTGTATACAAAATTTGGTCTGTTGCTACAAGCAGAACTAATCAAATTAATGGACAACGAATCAATCGCAACAATAACAAAGATACTCAAGAACATATACAACTCTGGAGAAATACCAACAGAATGACTGAAGTCTGAGTTTATTGTACTTCCACAAAAACCAGGAGCCAAAAAATATGAAGAGTACGAAGAAGCCTCATGAATCATCTCCTAAAATTTTTCATAAAAATAATCCATAAGAAATTTTACAAGCTGTGTGAAAGTCAAATTTCCCCCAACCATTTTAAGTTCGTAAATTATGTTGGTACGATAGAGGCTTTGTTTTCAATAGAAGTCTTATTCCAAAGATGCAGAGACGTCAACTGTAACATATATACGCTTGTCTTGTCGATTACAAGAAAGCGCTTGATATATACCCGCACACCAAGATTATATAAATACTAAAAGTATCACGAATTAACAATCAAGATCTAAAAACAATTAGAAATCTTAATTGGAATCAGACCGAAAATCTCAGAATTGAAGGTGAACCCACCGAATATGTGAAAATTATCCATGGAGTGAGGCAAGGCTTCAAACGCATAAATGCCTTCATTAAGAGCCTTTTTCATGGTATAAAAATAAGAATTCTGTGATACTATATCTTTTCTGTCCTTTGTTTCTGTGTTGGATTGTGGACTTTGAACAAATATATGTGCAGAAGATTAAAAGCATTTGAGATGTGGCTAAATCTAAGAATACTTAAGATCCCGTGAACTTACCGAGTCACAAATGAGGAGGTCCTCAGAAGAATGATGAAGAACCAAGAAGTACTGACCATCATCAAATCTCAAAAGTTAGAATACTTTGGACACATTATGCGAAATGGATCCATATATGCCCTCCTAGAAGCCATTCTACAAAAAAAATATTTGGAAAGCGAGGTCCAGGAAGAATAAGAACATACTGGTTAAAGAACCTCAGAACCATACAACATCTATGCAGCTTTTTCGCTCTGCTGCAGATAGGACAAAGATTGCTATGATGATCGTCAACATTCGTCACGGATAGGTACATAAAGAAGAATATTTATATTTATTGGCTTGTTTTATTAAGTTTATATTTATCTCCAGGTCTTCTGCAAACATGTTTTGCGTTTTATCATAAATAATTTCCAAACCCAATATTCCAAGTTTTTCTATCTTTTTTTATTATGTAGATGATGTCGTCTTTGTCTTTTGCTAAAATTATTTGATCATGGGCAAATACAAGGTATTGGATATTGTTGTCGTCAATTCATTTAAAGTTGCAGCTGTTTTTCCATACTTATTTAATGATTTTCCCATACAACCTACCCATATTCTGCTATAATTATTATTGGTCCTTCTTGATGTATGGAGCTTCAGTAGCTCGTTTTTTATTAATTCGGTATTTTTCCACCAAAAGAAGCATTTTTAATAACTATTTGCTTTAATTCTTCTTCTCTTCTTCTCTTCTCTCAAATAAGAGCTTCTGTTCAGCGCAGATCGTATTTCGTTTACAGATATATCTGCAACTTTTGTTTGTCTGTTTTTTTTTTCGTTAGTTGTGGGAGGATACAGATATCTTTTTTCTTGTAACAACTCTAAGTAATATTTTACTCATTCGCTTATTTGTATTGGTTCTGTCTGTACCTTTTACAGGTATTCTGTCTAATACCCTGGTGAGCAAGCATCTCAGCTTGCCCTGAGTTCGCTGTGATAAAGACAAGATGCAGAAATATTCATATCAGCGAATGGGGGTAGGTTGAAATGAAATCAAACCTAAACCGTATATTCTATCAGTTTTATAAATATATTGCAGATGATTCCACGTCTTCGTGTACTTCTGTTTTACTAGCAATTAAAATTCTGACAAAGTACCTGTATTGCAATTGTACCTGTATAAGAATTAATGATTTTTACTCTGTGAATTTATATTTATAAATAAAAGCTCTATGGCACACGTGACAGACGCGCATTCAACCTTGAAAGATGAAGTGAAACATGCCAGTCTGTAGTGAGTATATATCGTTAACAAAACTTAAATAGCAAGAACTTATACATTGTTCAGGTTTATTTTACAAATAAATATTATATATTATAAATAAATACTTACCGGCACATAGTAGAAGTAGGCATATTATAAACATAATACATACTATTGGTTTTGGATTCCACACGCATTTGCTAAACGACTGTATACAGTTCCGGTACCTGTCCATAGCAATGACCATTAATATTAATGAACTCACAGTTGTTGCAAATATTTGAGATGTTGGCAAAAAATAACATAGTGGCTTGCCTAATGTCTAAAAAACATCTTTTATTAAAATCTATGTAGCAATAATTAAAAAATTAAGATTTTATAACATCGAGCCTCTTTTGTTTGAATCTATTCTGACCAATATTCGATCCACACACAAACAGTTTAAATTCTTTCGGTGCCATATTAGGTCCCCATAAAGTTGGTAATTATATTGGTGAGTTGTTCACAGTTTTCAACTAATCGAAATAGTTGTTTTGAACTATGTATTCTTGTCCAACCGCGATTGTTTTTGAGCTATGACATCTGCTTTCTTCTAATTCCTTTCCGGTCCTCAATTTTACTTTTCATGATAAGCTGACCGGTCTCCTCTAAGACCATGCCCTAGAAAATGTGTCTTATTTTAATAGTTTTGTGATACGTAGGATTCTACCATCAATGCCTTTTGTTTTTATAATGTTCAAAAGCGTTCCATGCTGTACTCTATCGAAAGCCTTTCCGTAATCGATGAATGTCATACAAAGATCTTTACATTGGTCGCGGCATTTTTGGTGAAGTACATTTAAGTCAAAAAGTGCCTTACAGGTACACAGCGCATTCTTAAGTTTTCATCTAGATCTATTTCGCAATGACTTCTTAATTTTCCATGAATAACCTATTTTCAATGTGTGGCTCATCGAATAAATTGATCTGTATTCCAAGTTTTCTGGCGTAACACGGAATTCTCTTCAAAAACTTGCGTTCTAGCTCGCAGGGAAAGACGATGTACCACATCCATTTAAGAACAACCGTGCAGGAAGAGCGTGAATCAACGGCTTTATGAATCAGAATCCTCAATTATCGTTCATATTGCTAGAGTCTATTGCTAAGTCTCAGCTAAGCCGTCAATAGACGAAAAGTTGGAGAGTTTTCGAGAAATCTGTCGGAATTGTATGAAAAATTAAATTTTTTACAAAACTCAACTAGCATACATAACATGGACGAGTTTAATGTGCAATCTTTTAACTCATCAAGGCTCATTTCAGTAAAAGAAAAAACAAGTGGAAGTAAAAAGTTCTGATGAGAGAGATGAACTGACCACAATAAATTGTTAAATCAATGGTGCTGGAAGTTTTATTCAGCCAGCCTTCATCTTCCAGAAAAGGAAGAAAGAGAGAAAATGTTGAACTCTAGACCAGTTGGAAGCGCGGCTTGGTGCAGTGATTCTTGGTGGATCAATGCATTTGTGCTTTTAATTTTGGATAACCACAGTTCGCATTTAAATTTGAGCGCTATTATTTTTGCCAAAGAAAACGGCGTCATCATGTTATCTGTTCCATCACGCATAAACTTCAACTACTCGATGTCACGGTATTCAGATCGTTTAAGTGGACATTTGAAATTGGAGTAGAATTTTCTAAGTCGGAATAATCCAACATGACATAAATTTGAGCTGGAACGTCAGATAATAGAGCAAGTGATAGAGTTTAAATATCTAGGCATCACATTATCTAGCTAGGGAATGCTCGAAACAGAAATGGAAGATCAAGTGAATAGAGAAAACATAGCTGCAGGTTGCCTAAATGAAACAATATGGAGATAACGGGAAAGAAATGAAAGAATTTAAAAAACAGTCATTAGACCAATAATGATACACGAGGCAGAAATATGACCTGACACAGAGAGAACAAAAAGAATATTAGAAACCGCAGAGACGAAAACAGAGAAATTGATGGTAAAACACTAGAAGATGATGATATATGGACAGAGCTAGAAGCACAGATATACGACGTTGATGCAAAGTGGAGAACATCAAGGACTGGGTAAAAAATGGAAGAGTAAAATGGAATGATAATATAAGCCGAATAACAACAAATAATGTAGTAAAGACAGCAAGGCATTGGCTCATTCAACTTAGAAGTATTTTTTGACCTAGACTTCCAGTCCACTTCATCGAAGAAGAAACCCTATCGGAAAGTCCTCAGAATAATAATAGAAGAAGCCAAACTGAAGTACAGTTGCATCCTACTGAAAAGTCCATAATTCTCCAACGTCAGTTAAATCCATAGAAGGAAAAGAAGCAAGCTCACCACAGCCCTACTGTAGTAGAGATGTGCTAGCAATATCTTCAGTTATGGAAAAAAATTGCCACAGGCATCCTGCAGCGAAATCTTTGGTTACAGTGATCCCTAAGGAAGGCTTACCGTTTCCTAGACCTAAAAGATCTACTGAATTTAAACGCCGGACCTGATGCCAAAAATCAGAAGTACTCACAAGTTCACCTTTCAAAACAGAACTTGAAAACAAAGCAAATAAGAAAACGACTAATGGGAGAATACCAAAGAGAAATTTGGTGAAGAATTCTGAAAAAAGTGAGAATAAATATTGCAAACTAAGATTCATAATACTGAAACCTCCAGAAGATCTCCAACCCGAAGACAATGTTTTGTGCCTCATATGCACCGAACCATACAACAACTCCAGGAGCAAGGCAGTGTGCAGGAATTCAGTGCAATATTTGTCGTAAGTAAGCCCATAAACTCCGCTCCTCCATTGAATCATTACTTGTATTAAGTTCCATCCCATTTTTTTTTAAAGAAGTAATCAGAACTGTTCTTGTGTTTTCACTCTTGTATCTTGTAATATTAAACATACATTGTATATTCGACAACAAGGTTTTTGTACAACCCAGACTGTATTCTAATAACGAATACTATAATTATTGATGAAAAACTTTCCTCGTTGCCCTCATTTCCACTATTATTAGTGTTTTTTCTTATTATACAGACCAGCAGCTTCACGAACTTTCTTGTGCACGTGGAACATTTCATATTTCTTTTCCAATCCTTCTATTTGTACCTTGTCTGCATTTGTCTGCCTTGTCCCTTGTTCTTGTATTGTCTTTTTTAAGGTCTAGTAGTTCTTCTGTCATCCATTGTTGTTTCTTGAATCTACTAGTTACACTATGCTTTTCTAGTATCTTGGTTAAGTGTTTACAAAATAATTTCCATCATGTAACAGTTTCAATACTCTTCCTTAAAAGTAGGTACTCTTTTTTAAGTTGCTTTTTCACCTTGTTACGCATGCAGCATTCACTGTTGAACATAGACCTCCCTCATTTATTTCCAGTGCTTCCGTTCTTGTACCATCTATATGCAGCTTGTTGTAATCCGTATTATATTATCCTTTCCTTCTGCTAGGTTTCTTCTCAATGCATTTATGCACTATTTTTTTACCAGATATTCAGAGCAGTTATAACTCGTAGCTATTCCTAGGTAACCCACTGGAAATCCATTGAAAAATACAACCCCAAATGTAATTTTTCAATGACTATGTTTAAAATCTATAATGATCTGATGTAAGTCTTGATTATACTTCCAATACTTTTCACTAATAGTAAATATTTAATCAATTGTCGATGCAGCTTCTCTTTTAAAGCTCCCAAAGCCTTTCGGATACATTTAAGTAAGTTGAGGGTATTTCCGGCAAAAAAAAATGTGGTGTCAGATGCGTTATATATCATTTATACTTTAGTTAATTTAGTTGAGAAAAATATTTAGTTGAGATAAACTTCTTTTTGTTAGTCTCTACATTTTTGTAATCGAACATATAGTCCAAATATTGCTTCCTTAGTTTCCATTATCTATTGAAAACGAACTCTCTGTCAACTAATATTTTTGTATGTTCCACCACAACTAATCTCATATTTTTGTATGTTCCATCTTTAATTATTGTAAGCATGAATGACTCATTTAAATTATGTGCTTATAATGGAAAAAAGACCACCGGTGACAAATAAAATGTTAAATAAAGATAAAGATAAAAGAGGCATCAGCAGAAAGTTCTAAGGTTAACATTTAAAGAGGGCCTATATTTGGAAGCTAACGCCAGTGACTGAATAAGGATTATAATATAGCATATAAAAAGAAAGTATAACAAAACTATGTACTTACCCAAGTAACCAATGGTTTCGACAACATATCAAGATCATTCATAGCAAACACTATCACAGTCAGTATATCTGTCAAGGATAGTGTGAAAATGCATACTTTTTGTAAAAATTTTGTTTTCCTAGAAAAAATTTAAAATCATTATTT